GTCAATCATACCTGAACGACGTCCATTCCCTTCACAACTCTTCCAAAAACAGTGTGCTTATTGTCTAGCCACGGTGTAGCCACCGTTGTGATAAAGAATTGAGACCCATTTGTGTTTGGGCCAGCATTTGCCATAGACAATGTGAAAGGTCTGTCATGCCGTAGACTGCAAAGCCAAGAAGAAGAACAACAACATATCACAAACTAAGTTACATTTTTCATTTGTTTCTAAAGGATGGCTAAACTCAAAGCAGGCATGGCAGTAAGAAACGTTTACCTTTTGTGAAACTCGTCTTCAAATTCTCTGCCCCATATAGACTGTCCTCCAGTACCATCCCCAAGAGGATCTCCAGTCTGAACCATAAATCCTCTGATAACCCGGTGGAAAAGGTGGTTATCGTAATAGCCATTTCGACAGTGTGTTGTGAAATTCTCCACAGTTTTGGGACATTCTTCTGGGTAAAGCTTCATGTAAATGTCACCCAAAGAAGTATGCATGATCTGGATAATTAGGAGTTAAAATAATTATTGTTTTAAAGATCCAGCTTACAGACTATGTAATGATTATAGATGCAAACATCGGGTTTTATGAAAACATACCACATTCTCTGGAAGCAATGTTGTGGCTGAGTTTCCAATATCTGAGGCAGCCATAAGTTCATCAGCAGCAGGCTTCTCGTTGAACACATCTCTCCCTTGGCTTGCATCTTCAGGTTCTTCTGGCTCTCTCCGACTGCAAAAACCAATTTTTGATAATGAATTTGTAGTAGTCCTCGGCAATATCACGGTATCTCTAGGGATATCTAGATAAAAAAATCGGAGATATTTCTACAAATAAGAATCTAAAGGTGGGAATAGATGTTTCTTTCTCCCGCAACATTTTAGCACAATACGAGTCACATACCTGAACATATAGATCCTGTGTTTCTTGAAGGCACAGCATAGGATAGTCGGATCGGTCAAAGGCTCCTTGCTTTCATTTACATTTGCCGCAGCTGCTGGAATCTTCCTAACTTTCTTGCCTCCTTGATCACCTTGATATAATGCAAC